TGTTATGTTTCTGTCTTCTCCAGTGGTCTATGAGCAGTTTTAAGGCTTCATGGAACCCCTCTACAATTCCCATACAACAGCAAGGTCTTGTCTGGTTCCTGTAGTGTGAGGGGCCATGTGAAGATGAGGCTTGGGGGTAGTCAGCAGAAGGCAGAGGATGAAGGGTCTTCTTAATCATGTGAAGGGACTTGGACTTTATCCTCAAGGCAGTAGGGAGACAGGGAAGAGTTTTAAGTAGGTGAAATGCCATCACTTAAGGCATAGAGGAAGTGGAACTCTTAAAGGAAACTGAGAAGAGATAGCCAGTGAGGCTGGGAAAATCAGCACACCTAGGAACATTCTAGCAGATAATGTTGGTGCTCCACACAGGTCCCCTTGTGTCCCCATACCTCACTTCATGTTCTTTCAAAAGCACCTGGGCTCTTCCTTGGTGAATGGCTCTTAGGCTACTGGGAATTAGCACTAGTCCATTATCACAGACAGCAAGAAGTGTCTGGGAGTTTACAATGATTGTTGGATGTTGGAAGGGGGAGGGTGAAAGCCCAGCTCCCTTGCCTTGAGTTGGGATGATGTACACTTCAGATTTCTCCTTCAGGATCAGGCTCAAATCTACCCTCTGGGGACTTTTGCCTGAGAACACAGCCTTATTTGGCTCCTTTTCCTTCTTGTCCTGCTTTTGTTACTCCCTCACCATTTTCCCCTAGAAACATTTCCTTAATACATCACTTGCATATGAATCTCCACGTCAGGGTCTGCTCTGAAGAAGTCAACCTAAGACGCATACGTGAGTACAGACATTGACCTATAAACGGGAATACAAACTGTTCATGCCCCAGCATAGGAGCTCAGAAACACATTCTGTCCCTTCTTCCTGTTCTTGGGCTGTGAACAGACACAGAAGACCATGGATCCGACCTCCTCAGACCCCAGTAAGAACTGGCCAATCCCACGAAGCTGAGCTGCCTTCTTCTTCCATGAGTGATTTGTTGTAATCCTCTCCATCTTCAGAGCCCTTTTACATCAGTCCTCTTAGTGGGCCTCCAAAACATTCTACAATAAAGGCAGAGAAACTGTCAGTTTCACTTACTAGGTGAAGAAACTGAAGCTGTGAGTGGCTATGTGACTTACCTGAGGCCACATAGCTCCCCTAGTTTTCTTGATGTCATCGTCTGATTTTCTCTACCATGCTGCTCCTCTGTGAGCTACTGGACCTATTAATAAACCTGGGGAATGTTCATAGCTTTGTGCTGCAAGATGAAGATGAGTAGTACAAGGGAGTAAATGGATTCCTGTATAGAAATTCAGTACATTCAACCAGAGATAAAGGTGGCTGGGAGTTAGTGTTAGGACTACACAGATTGCCTATATGGCAGGCAGAAAATAATAGGAGGTACTGAGGTTGAAGAAAATGACTTGTTCTCCAGGATCTTGTCCAGAGGAAGTGTAATAGTGTCCCTCAAAGCACACATTGCATCCAGTGCAGAGTGTTGGGGGAAATTGGAAAATCACAAAGGAAATAAAGACATGTACTCAAAGTGATGATATAAAAAAAGGACATTGAAATGAAGTTATTCATGCCCTTCTGGACACAGTTTTGGCATTGTCTTCTCTGGAAGGTGTTCCCTGGCACACTCACCACCCCCAGCCCCAGACTGGAAAAGAAGCACTGTCCTGTGGTCTTCTTTCCTGTTTCCCTCTGTTTGTTTGTTTGTTTTTTAATGGAATCTTGCTTTGTCGCAGTGGCACAATCTCAGTTCACTGCAACCTCCACATCCCAGGTTCAAGCAATTCTCCTGCCTCAGCTTTCCAAGTAGCTGGGGCTAGAAGTGTGCACACCACACCCAGCTAATTTTTGTATTTTTAGTAGAGATGAGGTTTCATCATGTTGGCCAGGATGGTCTTGATCTATTGACCTCGTGATCTGCCCACCTTAGCCTCCCAAAGTGCCAGGATTACAGGTGTGAGCCACCATGCCCAGCCTCTGTCATTAACCATTTTTTTTTTTTGGTGATGGAGTTTTGCTCTTGTTACCCAGGCTGGAGTGCAATGGCGCAATCTCGGCTCACTACAACCTCCACCTCCTGGGTTCAAGCAATTCTCCTGCATCAGCCTCCTGAGTAGCTGGGATTACAGGCACGCGCCACCATGGCCAGCTAATTTTTTGTATTTTTAGTAGAGACGGGGTTTCACCATGTTGACCAGGATGGTCTCGATCTCTTGACCTCGTGATCCACCCGCCTCGGCCTCCCAAAGTGCTGGGATTACAGGCTTGAGCCACTGCACCTGACCTGTCATTAACTCTTAATAGTTGGTAGAGTAATTTCAATTTGATGTTTCCCAGAGAAGACTATGAGATACTTGAGCAGAGACTAGGTCTAAGTCAATCATGAATCCCACTGCCATGATCACAAACAAGCCATGATCCTGACTACAGTGTAGCCTGGTCTTGCCGGAGACTGTTCCTGGACCTCAGGTCTTAAGTGCCTTAATCTTGGCCACAGACTGAGTGATCCTGGCCTCAACCTGAGCTCTGATTCTGGCTACAGACTGAACCCTAAACCTGATCATTCTCTGAACCTCAATCTTGGTCACATCCTGATCCCTGATCTTGGTTCATGCTGAGGACTGATCCCAGCTATTGATTGAGTCATAAACCTGGCCCTGACCTAGTCATAGACTAAATCTGGACCCATCTAATATGCCCATTATCTCACAAAGGGCCCAGTGCACCACCCTCCTGATATTTCAACAACCTGTTACTCACATGTTTACTGCTCCTTGTTTCTTGTCTCAGCCTCACACCTTGATTAGACCTTGAGTACTCCTGGGACACATCTGCCCCACAGGCTGGCATAGTGTGGGGCCTCTACAGGCTGCTGACAAGGGCAGCTTGCTGAGTGACCACACTCTGATAAGAATGTGTTCACAGTGGCTGCAGGAGGGTAAAAACAGGAACCACTAAGGTCCAATCACAGAAGAATGTGTTGACTGCCTCTACCTGGCCATCTCTCTGATCAAAGCACAATTGAGAAAAACATTTGCCTTTTTACATATAACACAACAGAGTTCGAGGTAACAAAATCTGCTTTTCCTTAATTAAGAATTTGCCAGAAGTGGCAGAACAGTCGGGGACCTGAGGACAAAGAACATGAGAAGGAGAACTTTCACCTTCCCAGGCAGAAAATTAATGATAAAATCAGATTGTGTTACCAGAATTGTTTATATCTGTGTTTTAAGGAATTTGCCACTTCTGAATCTAATAGATGCAGCAGTCAGAGCTTGACTGCTACAAGTTTTTAATTTGTTTGGAAATTAGTTCAAATAATAAAGAAATGCTTTTCAATACAACATGAAGGCAATACAATCGGCACATCTCCCTTTAAACAATGAAACAACAGTTTTCAACATTGAATAATTAAACCAAAACAGAGATATAGACCAATGGAACAAAACAGAGACACCGGAGGCAACACAACATATCTACAACTATACAATCTTTGATGAACCTGACAAAAACAAGCAATGGGGAAAGGATTCCCTGTTTAATAAATGGTGTTGGGAAAACTGGCTAGCCATGTGCAGAAAGCAGAAACTGGAACCCTTCCTGACACCTTACACTAAAATTAACTCCAGGTGGATTAAAGACTTAAACATAAGACCTGGCACAATAAAAGCCCTAGAAGGAAATCTAGACAAAACTATCCAGGACATAGGAGTAGGCAAGGACTTCATGAACAAAACACCAAAAGCATTGACAACAAAAGCCAAAATAGACAAATGGGACCTAATGAAACTCCACAGCTTCTGCACAGCAAAAGAAACAGTCACTAGAGTGAATCGGCAACCAACAGAATGGGAAAAAATTTTTGCAGTTTACCCATCTGACAAAGGGCTGATATCCAGAATTTACAAAGAACTCAAACAGATTTACAGGAAAAAAACAAGCCCATTCAAAAGTGGGCAAAGGATATGAACAGACACTTTACGAAAGAAGACGTATATGAGGCCAACATTCATATGAAAAAATGCTCATCGTCACTGGTCATCAGAGAGATGCAAATCAAAACCACATTGAGATACCATCTCACGCCAGTTAGAATGGCGATCATTAAAAATCTGGAGACAACAGATGCTGGAGAGGATGTGGAGAAAAAGGAACACTTTTACACTGTTGGTGGGAGTGTAAATTAGTTCAACCATTGTGGAAGACAGTGTGGCGATTCCTCAAGGCCTTAGAAATAGAAATTCCATTTGACCCAGCAATCCCATTACTGGGTATATATCCAAAAGACTATAAATCGTTCTACTATAAGGACACATGTACACGAATGTTCATTGCAGCACTGTTTACAATAGCAAAGACCTGGAATCAACCAAAATGCCCACTGATAATAGACTGGATTGGAAAAATGTGGCACATATACACCATGGAATATTATGCAGCGATCAGAAATGATGAGTTTGTGTCGTTTGTAGGGACATGGATGAATCTGGAGAACATCATCCTCAGCAAACTGACACAAGAACAGAAAATGAAACACCGTATATTCTCACTCATAGGCGGGTGATGAAAAATGAGAACACATGGACACCGAAAGGGGAGTACTAAACACTGGGGTCTATTGGGGGGAAAAGGGGAGGGCCAGTGGGAGGGGGAGGTGGGGAGGGATAGCCTGGGGAGAAATGCCAAATGTGGGTGAAGGGGAGAAGCAAAGCAAAGCACACTGCCATGTGCGTACCTACGCAACTGTCTTGCATGCTCTGCTCATGTACCCCAAAACCTAAAATCCAATAAAAAATTAAAAAAAAAAAAAAAAAAAGAAAAGAAAAGTATGTGTCAGAAACAGGTTTTGAACCTCTGGTTTGGAGCAATGCCACTTCTAAGGATATACTAATATCTATCAAAACTTCATACTTAGCACTGTTTTGGTCTGTATCATTTTTGTCCCTCAAAATAGACCTGAGAATCTGGTAGGTAACCTCCTTGTCTTCCATTTCAGAGAGAGGAAGCCCCGGCTCAGCAGAATGGAGTCACTTGCCCAGGGACATCCAACTGAGCTGATACTCTTTGTCTTCCCTATGCTGCTTCTCTCTGGGTTTGGTAAAAGTTTTTATCTTTACAAAAAACAGGTAAGTGGCTTTGTGTTTCAACTTGTGAGTTTCTTTTCAATGGGCAAACTAGTCTGAAACGTTAATGATGACTGATGATGTAGACAAAGTCCATACATTATAGCTGCTTAGGCCGTTTTAATGTAAGACTGCATACCAGCCCCAGTTTGACCGCCACCCACCCACTGTGTGATCTTGTACGTCACCTTTCCTCTCTGAGCCTCCATTCTTCCTCAGTAAGTGGGGGTAATGTCTACTTCGCTGATTTGTATGAAAAGTAAAGGTTTTGTTGGTATGTTAAGGAGTAATTGTGAATTAGTTAGTGGTTATGAGTGTTAACAACTCCAGTGCAAAACCACAGTGGTGTTATGGCACCTAGAACCGTGCTGGGTGTCTGGTAAGTCCCTGAGCTATGTTTTCTGAGGTTCCTCCTTGCCCATCTTCAGGGTGAGACATAGCCCTCAGGATACAGGAGCCACAGAATGACATTCCTCAATGGGTAACTGAACTTTAAGAGAGAGCTTCTCAAACTCACCACCGAAGAAAGGAGAGTCTTTTCTTGGTTCCCTGCTCCAAGAATTTTCCCACTGGAAAGTGGATTGGGGAATGGTCTCGTGGGCAGGGTTTCTTACTGAAGTTAATTTTAACTTGTTTTATAGTCCTTAGAGGTGAACCAGACTTTAGAAAGTGAAGAGCAAAGGGAGGGGCTTCTAGGGAGATGCTGTACCCAAAGAAAGGTACAGAGGTTCAGGGACTGGGGAGCACAAGGCTGGGGGAGGTGGGTAGGAACAATGTCAGGTTAATTGAGTGCCATTGAAGTTTGGGGGATAGGAGTGGCATTTACTGATTTTCTGTTAGGTGCTTCACATATGGCAGCCATTTAACCCTGTGAAGGTAGATATCATCATGCCGATTGTATAGATTGAGAAGCTGAAATTTCAAAAAAGAAGTAAATGACTGTAGTCATACCTCTAGGGAGGGCAAACACCTAGATGTGAGGCGAGTTCTAATGAATTCCAAAGCCTTGTTCTTTCCAGCACAACTTGCTACCTCCCGGTGCAAAATGGTGTATGCATGCTCAAATAGGAAATTGTGAGGTCACATTCCTGGGAGTGGGGGCCATTAGGGGTTGTGTAGAAGAGGGGAGCACAACTACCAGCTTCTAATTTCCTCTGTTCTTCCCAACAGGAGGCTCAGAGTCCTCCAATACTGGGTGTGCAAGGCAGCATCCTCCCTTCCTTCCTTTCTCTCATCTTCTCACTCCTGCTGCTGTACTGGCTTCCTTCCCCCTCCCCATTATCCAATATTTTATTGCCTGCCAAGATGTCTAGGGACAGCCCTCAGTGGCTGGCTATGTCCTGATAAGTAATTTGCATGCACAACACACAGCTGAGTAACAGTGGGGCTGGGCTGGGATCCAGGAAGTTAGAGCTTTTTGCATTGTACAGTTCTCGTGCCAAACACTGCCTAGCACATAGTAAGTGCTCAATGAATAGTAACTCTTTTTCTGCAGGAGCTAATGTCCTTCCCACTGGAGGTTCAGAATTTTAGAGCCTGAAGATGCATTTGCCCTCCCTTCCCTTTGGAAGCAGCTCTTGTCCCTGGTCAGATTTCAGCCTTGTTCAGAAGTAGGAGGACTAAAGCTTCCCAGTGTCTGTAGCTTAGGCTAGGAAGGCTGTGGCCAAAGGGTCTGACCCCCATTGAAAAAGGTGGCCGAGCCTCAGCTCCAGCAGCCTCTCCAAAGAGTGAGGCCCTGGCTGCTTTGCATGCAGGATGAAGGCTCCTCTGGTCAATTTGCTTTCACTAATGTCAGGCCCCCGCGGCGCTGTCGTTGGTTGCATAGCAACTGGCCGAGCAGCGCGGCAGAGGTGGCCATGCATAAAAGATGACACACGACGGTGGGGCACGGGGTGACGATTTGCAAATTTAGATACAGTCGCAGCAGGAATATGAACTGGGCACTCGACAGGCATGGGGGTGGGTGGCTCTCTTTGTCTCCTCCCATCTCATTCAGAAAGCCAGGTTCCCACTGTATCGACAGAGGTCTGAGGAAAGGGAGTAGAAGTGGGGAAGTGCGGCTTGACTTCAGTCCCCAGGAAACCAGCGCTGGGCTGAAGGGGAAAAGGGGAAGTAAACAAGTTTGGGCAGCATGGTCCCCTGAGGACCCCTCCCAGGCAACCTGGCTTCCCCACAGATTCCTCCAACCCGGTGGAAGGCTGAGGAAAGCAGCTGGTCCAAACACCCTTCCTCTGCTATGGGTCTTCTCTTACCCTCTCCTGACAGCTGTAGGGAGAAGAGATGTGCTGGACTTGGAGTCTTCAGTCCTGGGTTCAAGTCCTGGTTCTACCATTTCCTGATATTAGGTACCTCAGCAGGTGACTTTAAATCACATTCAATTCAATCTATCTAATACCAATTTAGCACCAGGCACTGATCTGGGGCTGAGGACACAACCTTATAAAATACAGTCCCTGTCCTTGAGGAGTTCTCAGTGTTGTGGGAGAAACAGATATTCACGTGATGAGATTTACCTAGGTGGGGACAGAGAAAGAAGAGGGCATAGCAGTGAGTAGGGCAGTAGGGTACCTGTCAATGTGGATTCTGAAATTCTCCTATGATGGGAACACAGTGATTTCATGCATAGAGACAGGTTCTTTCAGGAAGAGTTGATCTGGGGAACAACTCTAGTGCAAACACCATCTTCAAATGTAAACTCTCTGAGGGCAGGGACATTTCCCCCTCTTTGACAGCAACAGTGATAGGTCCTTGCTGAATCGCTATTGAATGAATTAATTGCTCAGGGTTTTGACACTCATTATTTTATTATATGTATATATATTTTGAGACAGGATCTCACTCTGTCACTGGCTGGAGTTAAGTGGTCTGGTCATGGCTCACTGCAGCACCAAACTCCTGGGCTCAAGCAATCTTCCTGTCTCAGCTTTCCAAGTAGCTAGGATTGCAGGTGCACACCACTACATCCAGCTAATTTTAAACGTTTTCTTGGAGATGGAGTCTCACTGTTGTCAAGGCTGATCTCAAACTCCTGGCCTCAAGTGATCCTCCTGCCTCTGCTTCCCAAGATACCCGTTGTTTTATTTGATCCTCCCCAAATCTCTGAGGTAGGTATTGCATCTCCATGTTTTCAGATGAGGAAACAGCTCAGAGAGGAGCAGGAACTTGCCCAAATCACATTCAGCCTCACCTCTTACCCCATTTTCTGATTCATGATGCCATGTCCTTGTCCTTCCACAGCTTGGACTTCTATTCTGGGGTGAATTTGGGTAATCGTGACAATGACAACAGACAAAATTACCGATGCTGGGAGCAGAAAGTTGGGTTTGGAGGCCCAAAACAAAAGAAGTGATTTGACTCTAAACTTTGCCTGGGCCTCCCTGAACAGGATCACATACCACAGTGAAACCTCTGACAGGTAAGATGGCTTCCCTCATGCCCCATCATACTTTTTCATCATTTGTGAGAACCATGGAGGAGTTCAAATGCCAGCTCAGATACTTACTTGCTAGATGACCTCAGGTAATTCATTTTGCCTCTATTTCTCAGTTTCCTTTTTGGTAAAATAAGGACACAATTAGCATCCACCTTATGGGGTTGTGAAAAGTAAATACATTCATATATGTGAAGTCTTAGAACAGTGCCTGACATATGGTAAGTGCTTAATAAAAGTTTGACATTATACCGAAAACCTAATAATAATTATTGGAGCAGAGAGAAGAAACACAATTCAGCTTAAGATAGGAATTGGAAGATGGAGGATGGGAAAAGGCCTCCTAAGGGATCTGATAGGATGAGTTGAGTCTAGAAAGACCTAGGAGTTAGACAGTGTAAGAAGTAGAGAAGAAGGGTGTTCCAGACAGGGAGAACAGTGGCTACTAAACCTCAGAGGCTCCAACCTTTTATTTGGAAACTGAGATGCAGGGAGGGTAACTCATCTGTTGAAGGCCGTGCAGCAAGCATTAGCGGAGCCAGGCTGGCCTCCAGGCCTCAGGCTTAAGGGAAGAGATCTGGATATCCCAGGGGGCAAGGTCTGCAGATGAACATGGCCTCATGCCCTCTCTGCTGGGATTATATGTAAAGGGCACAAGGCTGGAAAGGTAGACAGGTGAGGCAAAACTTCTCCAATGTGCAGGGGACTAGTGGGGAAGCCAGATCCCGTGTGACTTTTGAGCTTCCGCCTGGAGAAGGGGGAGCGGGGACCCTGAGATGGGCTGGTAGGCTGGTGCCTTGAGCCTCTGGAAGCTGAGGGGCTCGCTGAGGGGCTCCCTGAGCTGCTGAGAAAACTTGTAAAGCCCCAGATCCTGGTGAAGATGTGAGATCTGCATTGTTGATAAATCTGGAATCTGTGTGGTAGCATACACCTGGTCTGTGTAAGGAGCCCAGAAGAGGCAAATGCCTCCACAGTTCAGATCCTCCAGTGTGGGGCCCACGCATTCCCAGTGGTCTTTCCATGCTTTATATGCTCTGGCATCTGTGAGGGGCTGGCCGAGGATCATTTCTCCTTCTTTGCTGAGAACCCCCATGGAGGGTTCCTGGGTGAGGCCTTGACTGACATGAGCCCAAGAATTTTGGTTCTGACATCTGAAGACAAGACATATTCTCTCTTAAGATGCATTCTGGTTACTCTTGGGAGATGTGAATCATGGGGGCCAGGGGGCCTAGTAGTTTCGTGAGGACAATCGCTACAGTCTAGAGAAATGCCAGAAGATTCAAATCCCTGATCTACTGTCTCCTGGGTGTCTGAACTTGACCAAGTTATTTAACCTCCTCCTCAGTCATACAATGGGGATAGTAACAGCACCAACCTCGGGATTATTTAGAAGATTAAATGAGGCTGTGCATATAAAACATTTGGCAAATGAATGACCTGACACAAAGGAAATGTGAACTGTTTAGTAGGTTCTCAAATTTAATTCACATTCCAACTCAAATCTGCAGAAAAAATGTATTACTTTTTTCTATTGATGATCTGGAGTTCCTTCTGAGCCTCCTCTCCTCCTTTTCGTTCAGGTCAGGATAAAATTCTGGCTTTTTTTTTCTTAATGTCAGAGGCCGAATATTACTTTCCCTTTCTCTCGGAATCCCTTTTGGAAGATTCTCAACTTCACACTAGTTAGACGGGGCAAGGCTCACATACTTGGAGGTGCAAAAGAGAATAATGTTTTATTAATTTCCAAAATATTCCATCTGCTACTCTTTTAGTATTCTAATAATGATGCAGGGCCCCTGTCACCCAATTCAGGTTGTAGTTAGGATTGCAGTATGTTTTAAATCCCAAGGCCAGAACAAGGCATCGGCTGTCCAGGGAGGGACTGCCAGAGTGAGCTCCTCAAGGGCACCTCCCTGCATTTGCAGAGGCAGCTGGTCACAGAAACCCTCCCTCCAAAGAGGGCCCCTCATCTCTACACCATTCCATCTGCACCCACCACTGCCATTGTGCTAAGGGAATCCGCCATCTCCTCAGATCCCAGCCACCTGACCATCAGTGAAAGCCCCTGTCTGGTCCTTAAAGACTTCTGCCAAGAACAGTTAGCAGAGAAAAGCAGAAAAGGGCTTATGTTATATCTCTTTATATATTTTTTAAAAACCCACAAAACAAAAAAACAAGAAAATCACTCCCTTCTCTCCTAGAGACTCTTTTTTTGAATCAGCATCCAACTGTCTCTTGCCTGCCACCCACGGAACTCAGACTTAACAGTCAGATGGAGAGCCTCAGAGGGCTTAGGAGGAGGGACCCCCCCCAGGGTCTACCCAGTGATGCCACCACTGGCCTGGCCTGGCCTGGGCCATGAGGAGTCAGTCTGCAGCTATCTAGAACTCCCTGTCTATATACTGTTCCTTCCCACATGTCTGTAGCTCTGGTCCAGACAGTGGCTGGAGGATCTCTGGGCCACTCTGGCCACTGAAGGGTAGAATGACCAGTACAGGATTTTAGATGGTTTGAAGTGACCTCTAGTAAGCTACTAAACCTCTCTGTGCCTCAGTCTTCTCTCTCTAAAATGGAAATAATGCTATACAGGGTTGGTATAGGAATTAAATGAGTTGATTTTTTAAAAGTTTTTAGAACAGTCTCTGACACATAGTATGTGCTATGTAAATGTTTGTTAAATAAAATGCAAAGATCATAGCATTACACAGCACTGACTCACAAGTGCAAAAGTAGTTTCCATTTAATTCTTCTTTCAATCTGATTACAACAAGAGGTGCTTACACCTCTGTTTTGCACTAATATGTCTTGAGCACCTCTCTTAACATGCTTTTCCCCAAATGGGGGCAGGTTTCAGACTCAGAGCCTTTGGCAGGTAAGGGCTGCTCTAGAATTTAGTAATTTTGTTTTATTTTCAGTGTAATTAATTTTACATTTACCTTTTCTTCTTAGCATGCAATATTGGTTTTCCATTTATGATAGAAGTAATATAAAACTCATTTAAGATACAGATTGAGTAAATTTAAAGAAAAACATAAAGTAAGTAATAACATTGGTGACTAATGGTCATGGCAAAAACTGACTTTGGGAAATGAATCCCAGAAGTTAGTGACTCTCTCTCTCTCTCTCTCTTTCTCTCTCTCTCTCTCTCTCTCTCTCTCTCTCTCTCTCTCTTTCTCTCTCCCCCCCTGTCTGTCTCTGTCTCTGTCTCTCTCTCTCTAAAGAGAGGACTGCCCGCACTGCCCCAACTGGGCCTGGGGCACTGATTTTTGATCTACTTTGTGGAGTGTCTCTCCTTGCCCCTATCCCTGTGTCTCACATGGGCACACCCGGCTGACGCCACCTTCATGGTGCCCAGTGCATATGGTCCAGCTCTCCAGACATGCCCTAAATTGGTGCCCCTCAAGGTTCTGCCATTGCAGAGGTCTCTCCCCTCACTCTCTCTTCCCTCACTCTCTCTCCTCTCACTCTCTGTCTCTTTTTTAATCTTCCTGCCTGGCAGAGTGACTGTAAATTGCCACATTAATTTCCAAATCAAGCCAAGTTCCATAGTAACAGACCAGCTCCCATCCAGACCTGAAAAGATTCATTAGGAAGTTGATTTGCTAAGTGCCCTCAACTTACTCCTTCAAAACAACAGCTGCATTTACCCAATTCTGATAGCTCAACAGGGGTGAGGGCTCCAAGTGGCTGCGATGCCAGAGTGAGCCCTTGAACAGAAAGGGTGGGGATTTCAGGAGCAGTGGAATCTGCCCAGGTGGCCGTCAGAAGAAATCTGGGTACTTCAGTGAGGGGGATGCTGATCGTCCTGCCCCTCACTTCCCTGGAGAACTCCTGGATGCCTATTCCATTTGTTCTGTTTGTGGACAGACTTGTTAAACCCATTGGAGAGGTGGCTGGGGAATGTCTTGAGCACTGGCAGGCCCTGGGACATTGGAACTTTGTGGAGTGTCTCTCCTTGCCTCCATCCCTCTGTCCCTCATGAGCCCAGCCCATGTTGGAACTGTGGCTGTGGGGCAATAAGTAGGGGACACAGACCACCCCAATCTCTTTATGCTGAGGGGAAGGACTGAGAAGCTAGAGAAAATATTTCATGGTTTAAAGGGTTCAGTAAAAATATTTCTTTATAAGGTTCAGGTAATTTTCTGTGTAAACTGTCCCCAGCAGGGTATTCTTTGAAAGCCTCCATATTCTCATTTATAAAATGGAGACAATAATACTTTCTCACAGGTTGCCGTGAGACCTGAATGGGACAGCATATGAACAGTATTTAGTACAGTGCCTTGCATGAAGTTAGCTCTCTTTTTCTGTGATGCTGATGATAGTGATGATTCAAAGTTCACGTTCTGTCAACAGCACCACCATCTACCCAGTGATCCATCCCTCTCCCTTGGCACTTCCTCATCCAGCAGGTGGACAGATCCTGAAGGTGCCTCTTCCTAAGCATGTCTCTGTCCCACTGCTGGCTCGTCTTCTCCCTGCCCTAGTAAGGCTGTCCTCAGCTTTTATTGGGATGTTAACTGATGTCCCTCCCCCAGTCAGAGCTGAGAGGAGCAAGTGAGGCAATGTGTCCTCATTTCTCCCTCCTTTCTCTCCCCTAAGAAGCAGCAGTTAAGGTTGAGTCTCTGGAGTGGCTAAAGCTCTAAGGAAGACTGACATGGAGTCTCAGGATTTGTGACACACTCACTGTGTGATTCTGGGCAAGGAACTTGACTTCTCTGAGCCTACATTTTCTCATCTGTAAAACTGTAGACGTTCTTCTCACCTAATAAAATACTGTGAGGTTAAATGATATTGTGTTTGCAAATTGATTAGCCCAGGGCCTGGTCTAGAATAAATGTTAGCTACTCTGTCCCTTTTCCAGGTCTGGGCCTTGTGTTGGGCCCTGGAGCTCAGCGCTGGGTGCAACTTACACTCTGCCCTCCAGGTGCTCACTTGCAGGTGGGAGAGATGGGCATTGAAGATGTAATCATAACTCAAGGCGCCGG